AAATATATTCAAATAAAAATGAAATAATATAAAAAAGAAAAGAAGAAAAAGATAATATATAATCAATTATAAATGTCATATGATTATTATACAATATGTAATATATGATAAATAATAATTTCATATGATATAGATAGAAGATATAAAAAATAAATAAATAATAATAAATGATAAAGAAATAATAAGAGAAATGATATAATAATAAATAAAATATATAAATGAAATAATAAATAAAATCAATATAATATAAATAATAATAAATATAAAGAGAAAATAGATATAAAATATAAAAATATAATAAAAATGAAAATAAGATAAAGAAATATATTAATATATAATAAATTAAATATAAATAGAAGTGTATTAATATATAAAATAAAATATAAATAATAAGAATATCAAACTAATAAAATATGATAAATATAATAATAAAGAGATAATATGATGATATATATATAATACAATAATAGAAATAAATATAATAATAAAATATATAAATATATAAAAATAAAATACATAAATAACATTAATAACATAATAATAAAAATGTATAATTACATTGAATCAAATATCATTTCTGAATCATTTATATTTCATAACAATTTACCATAAAATGATATAAAATATAGACAAATATAAATGAATATAGAATGAGTATTTAATTTACTTTTTTATTTTTTATTTTTTTTTAGGAGCAAAATAATAAAAACTATTATTTTATTGATGCAAAATATTTTGCTCGATAGATAAAATTACTACAAGCAATACATTGAATTCCATCAATATTAAAAATAATTCATTTCTCCAATTAACTAAAATACAAGAAGGAGTAATATTCAGTTTGTATAAAAAAGATAAAATATTAAAAAATGATTAAAATATTATCCACTTTGTAAAGACAAGATATCCACAGTAGAACACATTCTACTATCTTATATTGGTCATAAAAAATCACAAATTGAGAAACATAACAATATTATATTATCATATGGGTTAATAAGAAAATATAAATGAAATAAACAATATAAAAAATCAAAATATGAAACAATGTTCAAATACAATGACATCAATATGATATTAAACATACAAATAATATCAAAAAGTGTTTAACAATATCATAAAATATCAGATATATATGTAATAAATAAAAAGAATAAAACTGGTCTATTATTTGATATGACTATTGTTGTATATCACAATATTAATGGAGACTATTGGAAGAAAAGAAATATGTATAAATAAATGAAGAATATAATAATTGAAATATAGAAATAAAAGTTATAATAAATAAATACAGTATTAATTTCAATGAATTAATTAGTAAACGAAGAAAGTATTAAATTAATTAAAGAATTAAAAAATGAAATTAACATCATAAAAGAAATTAAAAACATGATGGATGTTATGAAACATTGTTTTTAACACAACCAAACATGTGTTGTTGAACTACATGATGAAGGGACGGGATTAGTATTTCATGATTAAGGAATAATAAATACAAATTCTATTAGTACTTATTTAATTGATTTTTATTTTAATTTTTTCAATTTTCTTAAATTAGAAATTAATTTTAATTTTTTTCTTTTTATAATAATTTTTTTATGGTACAATTTGACGATAGTGTGATATCATCATATTAAGCATTAAAAGTAAATTTTATTAAGTTGTTTTATATAACATTTATTTGATATTTTGTTATATTAATATTGTTTTATTTATAGAAATGTTCTGATGAATGTCCTTTCAGGACATTCAATAGGACATTTAGAGTGCTTCTCTGTGTATCTCTCATTTGATTGGTCTAATCTATAACGAATGTTCTGAATGTCCTATCTAGTGTCTGTTCAGCATAGAATATTTAAGCATCAATCTTATAATGGTTGATCATACAATGAACGTGTACGATTTCTATGTACTCAGTGACAAATTTAAATTTATTGTGTGTTCATTTAATGAATATGACAGACAGATGGCAAACGAATTAATCAACGAGTATGCAATTAATTATTCATTTGAGGATTTAACAGCATTATACGAATATTGTCACAACAACAATCGTGGTGTATATTTTATACATTATTGTCAATACGAAATTATATATATTTACGCCATCTTGAATCGAATGGCAAATATAGGTATTAACAACATCGATCGATTATCGTTAAACCGATTGTTATATTATGTGAATGATTGGTGGTTACGTGACGGTATTGCTGCCGCATGGAACGTTCTGTTGGACGCGTATGATAGAGAACAACACGAACTTGAAGAAGCCAATCTTTATGACAATTCTCTAATATCTGACATTAGCATAGAAGATCTCAAGAGTAGTGTTGATACTCTCTTCTCGGGGAATGTAGAAGAGGGGACTATTTCCTTTTCTAACAGGGAGTTAGAAGACTTCGCTTTTATAGAAGTCACTCCATCTGAAGAGTCTCTTCCTTTTTTCTATGACTCTGATGCTAGTGCTGGTTTTTGAACAGCAACTAATCGAATTCTTTTTATTTTATTTTTATTTAGAAGAAGAATGAAAGAAAGATAAAATAATTGAAATACTTTTTTAATAAATATTTGATAATAAAATGAAAGTTTTCATATAAAATAATCAATTATTTTTATTAACCCAAGGTGCTAAAGTATTTATTAACCATACACATTTCCAATATGCTTGTTTCATTAATTTTTTCTGATGTTCTTCATGAAGTGATGGTAATAAACTTGCAATTTGTTGTTGAAGTTTAATTGCTTCTTCTAATGTTGGTTGATCTATTTCATAACCAGCAAGTGTAATGAGAATATCTTTTAATGTTGTCATTTGATCAAATGAAATAATGAGTTTGAAATGATGTATTTATGATAATAATGAAAGGATCCTAGTTGATAAAACTCATGAAAGAAGAAAATCGAATATAGAATGACACGAATAATATTTCAACATGATGTTTAAACAAGAATAAAAACAAGAAAAAACAAATAATAAGAATATGAACAATACACCACAAAACACTGTTGAAAGTCAAGTAATTGATATTAATGAAATGCCACCAGCAATGATAATACCAAGTAATCCACTAATAGAACAAGCAGCACCTAAGAAAACAAGAAATCAAAAAGATAAAATGAATCAATATATTAAAAGACAAGTGATTGATAATCCAAATGATATTATGGAAGATATTATTTCAGAGAATAAACGATTAAGAAAAGAATTAGAGAAATAAGAAATTTATATATTCAAGAATGA